CCCCCCCCCCCCCGCCTCTTCGCCGCGCACGAACACCGTACACAGGATTGCTTTCCGGTTCGTGGTGAACCTTACGATGGGACTCTTCATGGCGGTTTTCCAGTTCCTCTTCTCCATGTGGACCGTGATCTGGTCCTACCAGCCGGACCCGCTCTCTGCCCTAGCCTTCGCGGCCATGGCGGCCCTCGGAGCGGTGTCTATGCTTGCGACATGGCTGCTCGGATTGGCGGCAGTGGGGGTCACGGGGGTGTACACCGTGGTGAAGCTCGCGGAGACCGCACAGGTAAAACGAAACGTTAATGGAGATACCAGCGAAAGTTGTTTTGATTTTTTGTGCCCTTGGGCAAGGATGTTTTCTCGCTCGATGAGGCCGCGCAGGTGAAAACGAGAGTGATTTTTTTTCCTCGGCGATGTCGGTTGTGTGTTCCCGAGCAAGGTTTTTTTGAGGCAGGCTATAACCACCTTTTTGCTCTCATGGTCGATGGGGCGCTGCTCACACCTAGATAGACGGGGAATGTTTCCTCGGGCACCAAGAAGTATAATTCTCCGTTTGGACTCAAAGGGCTAGTGAGTAGCACCGAATGGCTTGGCACAGCTGGTGGTCGGCAAGAGGCGACACAGGCTCGGCGCTGACGCTGTATTGCCATGTTTTCACTCTGGAGAGATTCGAACCCGTAACAATCTGGATAGTGAGAGGGTACCCAGTTTCCTCAACCACGGGGGTCTCCGGTGGGAATGCAAAGTGGTGTCGATTTGGTGAACTCTCAGTGACAAGTCAGTCCTTCTCTGAGGTACCACGACGATGTATACAGCGCCTTCGCAGTCGGGAGTCCTTTTTCGCCTCAATCTTTTGTTGGGTGATATATGTGCGCCATGCCGTTCTGCGCCATTTTGTGCGCATTTATTCACTCTTGATGCGGTATGTATAATGGTGTATCAAAGCAGAGCTTGCGTCCCATGACCACCATGGTCAACTGCCCGTCTTCACAGCGGTCTGCGCATTGTTTTTTACTCCGAAGGGAAACACGGTTCACAGTATTATTTTCTTGCCGAACATGCATGTGGTGGCAGATCGAGGCTGCCCGGCAACAGGGACAAGACCCGCGACGTGGGCAGTACGTCCAGCAGCAGCAGCAGCAGCAGCAGCAACAACAACAACAGCAGGGGCAGTACCGACAGCAGCAGTTTAACCAGCAGCAGCAACAGCCTAGGCGGAGACCAGCGGCGACAGCACCGCCTCAGCCCGCCATGTCTTCGAACTGGTCTAGCATTGATTGAAGACGTGGGGTGGCGGGCTGTGTGGTTTTGTATTTCGTGGGCGTAAGGCACACTCCAGTTTGACCCCAATATAGACCGAAATACCTAAATGGTTGGTCAAGCTGGGCAGCGTGACGGCGGAGGGGTTCTGAACAAGTTGGAGATTGTAGACGAGTTGAATGGTCCCCGACCTTCGGCGTTTTTTGAGGAAACGACCAAGCGTGTCACGTCCCGGTCTGTCCCCCTACGACGTGCTACGATGTGAAACTACTTGTACCATATATAGTAGACGTAGACGTCGTGGCCGTCGCAGGCTACAGTTCCCTCTAAATATGTCGGTTGCAACGGCCGGGGTTCTCGAATCGTGTCAAACCTGTTTGATTGCGTAAGATACCTTACCCCCCGGGCCGATTTTCAAAGCTCAATCACTCACCGCGAAGACGGTGCCAAAATCAAGTGACCCGTTTTCGGGAAAAGCTGTAGGCGAGGCGTTTCCAAAGCCGCTATTCCGGGCACCGTTTCGTTTTCTGGTGCTGCAAGAGTGAAATCGGCCTTTGAAATTCGATCCGGGGGGTGTGGTATCTTGTGCAACCTATGGCAATACTTTCACGTCGGGGATGTGCATAGATACGGTCTTGAGATGTCGCAAGCTACTCTTCTCAGGGTCAAAGCCATGAACATGTTGCCGCGACATCGGTGTGCGTGAGCAAGCCTCCCGATGTGACTGCTCAAGTTCTTGAGTGAGACGCCCATGTCTTTGCTGGGTGTAAATTGTGGATGCGCACACAACAATCGGTACGGTACCGCGTTTCGGAAGGGCTCAAGAACAATCGGGCAACGGCCAGCATCCCGTCTATTGTGCACGCGCTCGTTTTCTTGTTTGTTGCATTATGGCGGACTCATTGGAGTTTTGTAAGCCGTGCACTGGCCATGGCGTGTCAACGCCAGCACGTCAAGCTTGAGATCCGGGGTCACTCTCTTCCCCATCTTCAGGTCGGTCACCTCACTCCCTCATCTCCATCGTCCTCACCGAATGGCAGCTGCCCGAAAAGCTTACCGTAGCTGTAAGAAAGCTGTGTTGGAGACTACACCATCTACGTAGCTCCGAACTTCAGGGTTTCAAAAACCATCGTCGAACAATATGTCCTCACCGTGTCACCCGGAACAGATCCATTCTTTATCATGCCGATCTTTTCAGGGCTTCTTCGATGACCCAATTCACCAGTCCGTCTCCGTTTGCTCAAAGTTGTCCTCCACCATCCTCCAAGGCTGGTTTATTCCCGGTGCAACGGCAACGATATGCACCACAAACAACTGCTGCAGGTGTGGGACTTAACGTCACTTGAACATTGGCTCTCTAGGGAGCCAGCCATTCACGACAAACTTGGAGATGAGGGTGAACCGTCGTCCCTGGATTCTCCGTAAATTGGAATCTTGTGCTAGACCAGGCCTTCGATTATTCGCGCGAAATGGCATCCGTCGTGCGGAGCCAACCCCCATCCAGCAAAGACAGGAGAAGGCAGACCACAACAGCCATCGTAACACAGGCAACAGCAGCAGCCCAACCTTACGGTGCGTCGCCGCCCGCCAGGGTTGGATATTATGTTCTGCGTCGGGATTCAACACCAATTGACGTCGACCTCGTGCAAAGGTCATGCCCCTTCCTTTTGGGTAGTCGCCCCTCTTCCCGGAAGGATTAATAAATGGTGAATGAGTCCGTGAGGGCCGTGCGATTGCCAAGTAGGGCCAGGACCGTAACAAAGCGATCAAAGAGAAGAAATGGCGCGAGAACCGAAAATGAAAACAAATCAGGCGGCGTGCCAGAAGATACCTGCGGTGGGCGTGGTCCCCTAAACCCAAGGGGGAAGTGGTCCCTGTGTGAGGTCGAATATTGCCGATGTATCTCACCCGACTCTTTGCACGTGGCACTATCAGAGTACACAAGGAACATTTGAATATTCCATCTGTCGCGCGATTTAATCGGCCCTGTAGAGGGCGACTTCGACAGCCCTATTTGTGCGGCCTAAACTCAGGGACAAAACCTCAAATGTTCTTCCCCCAGAATGAGGGCATGTCAAACGTCCTGTGTGTTGCCGCTACCGAGGACAAGAGCGCAGCCACAGAGCTGTGCCCCCTCCATGCATGTGCACATGAGCCGTGAGTTAGTCGAAATGCTGTCCAAGTTTAAAACCGCCTATTATATAGTATCAAAGGCGATAGAGAGTGAATAATTACCCGAGATATTTCTGTTCCACACAGTTCGGGACTACATCAGCTGCTGAGGCAGGCACAGAACTCTCCGCCACGCGCGAAGAGAACAACCCTTCTCTACAAAAACGCATTCGCAGCCAAGGGTAACAACAGAGAGGAAGAATGGCATTACCGGTACTATTCAACCCTACACGCACTCTCGTAGGCGAAGCCTGCTGTTCCGCTACCCCCGATAACTTAAGCAGTGATCTCGGAGAGGTTGACTGGACGGCTTTCCTTAAGGGACTTGTCGCATGCCATGGCCATCTTGAGAGCGGCCAAACCGTCCTCTCCCGAAGGGGTGACGTCACCGCCCTCCTCCAAGATCTTGCAGAATGCCTGAATAACATACCAGTGGACCCCCAAAGGCAAGGAGGGAGTTGAGTCAGGTTGGAGAGGGACGGTAACGAACGGAAACAGAAGCACGTACACAGACACAACACTAGAGGCATGTGTGTGTGTTTCTTATTATTAGCATCGACCGCGCTAACCGGCTGACCTATGAAAAGACGCCACTCTTAGTGCGGTTGAAAACACAAAACACCTCTATCTACCATGAACTGGGACCCCGTGAGGGGGCACCATGGGGTAGGCTAAACTATTCTTCGGATCAAAAACAGACACAGCAGCAACAGAAGAAAACTGCACCCGTCTACCAAGGCTATTACCTAGTACTCGAGTTCGTTTAGGGGTACTTTCACCAGTATCCTCCTTGTTTCGCTACCATCATTCTGATCCTCATTTTGACAAGAAGAATCTCCGGGCAGTGTGTGTGTGTGTGTGTGTGCTTTCGTCCTATTTATTATGGCGACAATCCCCTCATTTTTCGTGGTGAGACGCGTATGACGAGTACTACACTTTTCAGTGTATTTTTTCGTACCAATACAAGCATCCAGGGTCACACGGGTGGATCCATTAGGTGAAACCGGGACGCCCTACCCACTATCGTGGGAGGGGGTTAGATACGGATTTCGCCCAGTAGCATGCGGTATTACCCTTTTACCTGGCGTATGTATTTGGTCACAGAGGTCGGCCAAAGCATGCTCGATATTTGAGTTGTGAGGTGGTTTCTTGAACTACGACACACTCCAGTCGAGTAAACAGAACGCGCCAACCGAAACATACCAGCGAAGGGGTGCGAGCATGTCCGACACGACACGATGCCCTCACCCCGTTTGCCCCCCCCCCGCTCAACAGCCTTGTTCTCGTCGGCATAGCGTGAAGAATGGAGGTGCACGATTGATCGTCCTTTGCCGTCCACAAGCAACTCTTTCAACCCACTACACACACGGAGTTGCGGTGGCAATGTCTTCATCGCGGAGTCAACCCCAACAGCAGTCCCTCCTGCGGAAAGGAACAACTGATACTTGCAAATCGATACGACAACGCAAGTAGGCCTTACGACGGGCGCCGTCGCCGCCGGTTCGCCGTCGTCTTACCCGGGTCTCGTTCTTGTAAGCGTCGGCGTAACGCGTCATGAAGAAGGCGTGCGGCAGGTCGGCCTGCTGCACCGAAGTTCCCGTCCACTTCTGCACCGCGCTCGGGAAGTGGTTCTCGTGCTTGACGAGCCCGTCCGTGCCGAAGAACTCGACGCGCTGGTCGTAGCCGTAGGTGGCCTTGCGGCACACCTGCAGGAACAAAGGCATGGTTCATGCATGTCACCGAGGGGCAAGAAGAGACGGAGTGTAAAGAGAGAAACGAGTTGAAGTCGACATTAACACGCAGGAAAGAGAGGGCGACGAAGATAACCAATCGGTCCTGAGGGCGTGCGCATCAACAGCATAGAAGGAGCGGTGCAGCAGAACTCGCCGGGCTGCCTGTGGACCGCCTCCCTCGGCACTGGTCCACCCACAAGGCCGTGCGCCATCTTTGCCAAATCCACGGTAATGCCCGCTCAAGCAAGCACGCTGAAGAGTGCAGTAGCCGTCCCCGCTAAAAGGTCACTTATCTGCGCACTCCAAAAAAACACCGAAAGCGGTGCAGCGGTATCCTTGAAATGACCACCGGCACCTCGCCTCAGCAAAGCACGGTCTCCATAAAAAACGGCCAAAGTGTCTTTGACACAGATGCCCCTAAAGCTGGCACGGCTGCTGCAGCATAACCTCTCTCTTGAACTTTGAAACCCGCACCTGGATTGTGGCAGTCGAGCCGCTCTCGAACTCGATGAGGATGTTGGCCGTGTCGATGGCCTCCGAAGGGTTGGAGTCCTTGAGCTCCAGGATGCTCTTGTCCACGTTGCACGCGCCGGTGGCGTACACGCGGACCGGCTCGTTGGTGCCGCACGAGCCCATCAGCCACCGCGCGATGTCTAGGTCGTGGATGGCTGAGGGTTTTTTTTAGTGGGAGGGGGGGGGAGACGAATACGACATCGACTTGAGTGCCTACTTGCCTGACCTTCCAAGTCAAACAACAACAAAAACAAGGGTATCGATTACAACAAGGACAGCCTACGCCACGAATACAATCAACACTACGGCACAACTCGCTCGCTCTCACCCATGTCCTTGAAGAGGCCGCCGCCTCCCTTTACGTAGTCGAACGGAGGAGCGGCGGGGTCCCTGGACTGAAGGACGGCGGACACCGGCGTACCGACCTCACCCGCCTCTATCATAGCCTAAACATCAAAATTGGCGGGGGGGCAGAGGCAGGATGGCTTAAAATGGATTGATTTCAAACACGTTGTGGACGAGATTCGTTGCGACACTTCCTCCTGAAGAACCCTCGGCGAAGTTGGCAATATTACGTTCTTGTCACGTGAGGGAATCGGATAGAAACGTGCACATTATGAAAAGCGGAGAATCGACGAAACGCACCGATCACATGCTGATACTTTAAACGGAGGAGTGGGGGGACGGGTGGAACAACTGGTTCCGAAAACGTAGGCCGAATCAAGCCAAGCGAA